GGCAGTAGGATCGCTTGAGCCCAGGAGTTTGAGGTTGCTGTGAGCTAGGCTGATGCCACGGCACTCACTCTAGCCTGTGCAACAAAGCAAGACTGTCTCAAAAAAAAAAAAAAAAAAAAAGAAGGTGCTTAAAAAGAATTAACTATATCTGTAGACGATTTATAAATACTCAAAACTGCATATACGTTATACCATATTACATGCATTGCTCATGTAAACATATTTGGTTAGTACAAAACACCAAAATGGACTGGAGAGTCTGGTTCCAGATAAGACAGCTTAAGCAGATCCCATCCTCTTGTTTCCAATGAACACAGCTATAAATTCCAAACAGAATACATGGGACACCTATGTAAGGACTCTGAAAAATAAATGGCAGCAGATGAGGAAAGAATACCAGCATTTTAAGAACCAGCAATGAATTTACCACTTTTTCCTCCAGTATCCCTAGCCTGGACTAAGGGAGCCCCCAAACCCAGAAGTAGCACTGACTTACAGAGAGCACCCAGAGAAGGCCTCTACTTCAGGCTTGAAGAATAGGAAAGGGGTCTCCTGGCAGTAACTGACCGTGGTGGCAGGGTGGGGTGTGGGAGCCCCCAGGTAACTCAAACTCCATGGGAGGAGAATCTTGCTCACACTTAAAAGATCTATGGGCCTCTCAATTACTACTGCTTGGCACATGCGGGCAGTGTTGCAGAAGCCACGACACAGGTACGCAAAGCCCCAGCATTCCCAGAGAGGGACTGGAAAAGGGAGCCTGGAGGACTAAGAGGTACCAGTGGCACTACAAAGAGTTAAGAGCTTGGAAAAGTGACCCACAATGCTGTTTATAAACTCCTAGCCTCACCCCAGGCCGTGCACATGTGGCTCTGACCATACACAGCTGGGGACTGAAGAAGATCCAGACCACCCAGCAGGAGGCACACGGGGCACACCTAACAGCAGTGTAAAGGCCTTCTCTAAATGGGACTGATGTTGAAACCAAACAGAGAAGGCTGGTTGGAACTCACAACCTGAATGCAACCAGGTTGACTGCCTGTGAAAACAACCATAAGCATTTTCAAAAGGATTTAGACAAGACCCATAGTCTCATAACATAATATTCAAAATGTCCAGGATAAATTCAAAATTAAAAAGGCCCAGGAATTTGAGGCTAGCCTGGACAACACAGAGACTGTCTCTTTACAAAAACAAATATGACAAACCCATAGCCAGTATCATACTGAATGGGAAAAAGTTGAAAACATTCCCACTAAGATCTAGAACAAGACAAGGGTGCCCACTGTCATCATTTCTATTTGACATAGTCCTGGAAGTCCTAGCCAGAGCAATCAGGCAAGAGAAAGAAATAAAAGGTATCCAAATGGGGAAAGAGGAAGTCAAATTATCACTTTTTGCTGATTATATCATCTTATATCTGGAAAACCCCAAAGACTCCACCAAGAGACTCCGGGAACTGATAAATAAGTTTAGCAAAGGCTCAGTATATTAAATCAATGTACACAAATCGGCAGCATTTCTATACACCAATGACAGTCAAGCAGAGAATCGAATCAAAGATTCAACACCATTCACAGTAGCTACAAAGAAAATAAAATACCTAGGAACATACTTAACCAAGAAAATGAAAGATCTCTAAAAGGAGAACTATGAAACACTGAGGAAAGAAATCACAGATAACACAAACAAATGGAGAAACATATCCTGTTAATGAATCAGTAGAATCAACATTATTAAAATGTCCATACTAACCGAAGTGATTTACAGGTTCAATGCAATCCCCATCAAAATACCATCAACATAGTTCACAGATCTAGAAAAAATAATTATATGCTTTATTCAGAACCAGAAGAGCCCAAATCGCCAAAACAATCCTAAACATAAAGAACAAAGCTGGAGGAATCACATTACCAGACTTCAAACTATATTACAAGGCTATAGTAACCAAAACAGCATGGTATTGGTACAAAAATAGAGATACAGACCAATAGAATAGAATAGAGAACCCAGATATAAAACCATCTACCTACAGCCAATTGATCTTTGATAAAGTAGACAACAACACGCACTGGAGAAAAGAAGCCCTATTCAATAAATGGTGCTGGGAAAACTGGATTAGCCACATGTAGAAGAATGAAACAGGACCCCTACCTATCACCACTCATAAATATTAATTCAAGATGGATAAAAGAGTTAAATGTAAAGCAAGAATCCTAGAATAAAATGTTGGGAAAAACTCTTCTAGATATTGGTCCAGGCAAAGAATTTATGATTGAGATCTCAATGGCAATTATAGCAGCAACAAAAATCAATAAATGGGATTTGATTAAATTAAAAAGCTTCTGCACAGCTAAGGAAATAATCAATAGAGCAAACGCACAACCTACAGAATGGGAGAAAATATTCATAATCTACACATCTGATAAAGGGCTAATAACCAGAAGCTACAAAGAACTCAAGCAAATCTGCAAGAAAAAAATTAACAACCCTATTAAAAAGTGGGCAAGGCTGGGCGCGGTGGCTCACACCTGTAATCCTAGCATTCTGGGAGGCCAAGGTGAGCGGATTGCTCAAGGTAATTCGAAACCAGCCTGAGCAAGAGTGAGACCCCGTCTCTACTATAAATAGAAAGAAATTAATTGGCCAACTAATAATATATAGAGAAAAAATTAGCCGGGCATGGTGGCGCATGCCTGTAGTCCCAGCTACTTGGGAGGCTGAGGCAGCAGGATTGCTTGAGCCCAGGAGTTTGAGGTTGCTGTGAGCTCGGCTGATGCCACGGCACTCACTCTAGCCTAGGCAACAGAGTAAGACTCTGTCTCAAAAAAAAAAAAAAAAAAAAGTGGGCAAAACACATGAACAGAAGTTTTTCAAAAGAAGATATAAAAATGACCAATAAACATATGAAAACAGGCCAGGTGCAGTGGCTCACACCTGTAATCCTAGCACTCTGGGAGGCTGAGGCAGGAGTTCGAGACCAGCCTGAGCAAAAGCAAGATCCCATCTCTACTAAAAATAGAAATTAGCGAGACAACTAAATAAATAAATATACACACACACACGTATATAAAACTAGCCGGGCATGGTGGCGCATGCCTGTAGTCCAAGCTACTCGGGAGGCTGAGGCAGTAGGATCACTTGAGCCAGGAGTTTGAGGTTGCTGTGAGCTAGGCTGACACCACAGCACTCTAGCCGGGGCAACAGAGTGAGACTCTGTCTCAAAAAAAAAAAAAAAAAAATATATATATATATATATATATATAAACTTCCTGATGTCACTAATCATCAGGGAAATGCAAATTAAAACCACAATGAGATATCACCTTACTCCTGTTAGGATGACTTCTATTAAAAAGTCCAAAAACAACTGATGCTGGCGTGGATGCAGAGAGAAAGGAACACTTATACATTTGCAGTTGGTGGGACTGCAAATTAGTACAACCTCTATGGGAAACAGTACGGGGATTTCTCAAAGAACTAAAAGTAGACCTACCATTTGATCCAGCAATCCCACTACTGGGTATCTACCCAAAGGAAAGTAAGTCATTTTATCAAAAAGACACCTGCACTCAAATGTTTATTGCAACACAATTCACAATTACAAAGATGTGGAATCAACCTAAGTGACCATCAATTCATGAGCAGATTAACAAAATATGGTATATGTACACCGAGTACTACTCAGCCATAAAAAAGGATGAATTAATGCCTTCTGCAGTAATTGGGGAGGAACTGGAGACCATTATTCTAAGTGAAATATCTCAAGAATGTAAAATATAATCAAGAGAGTACACCACATGAACTGTCTAATAAATCGGAACTAACTGATGGGCATATCAAGTGCACAGAGGGAAATAAATGTCATAGGAAATCAAGTAAGGGGAGCAGGGAGAAGGGGAGGGGCAAAACCCCACCTAAAAGGTCAAGGAACATTATTCCGGTGATGAGCACATTTATAGCCCTGACTCAAGCCATATATCAAAAACATTTGTACTTCCTAACATTTTGAAATATTATAAAAAAAGAAAGAAAGAAAAAGTGCTCTAAGAAGTTGGAGCAACATTTGCAATAAATGGCATGAGAGGCAGAATCCTACAATGCCCCCCAAGCTTTCCTGCCCTAATCCCTGAGACTATAAATATATCATACCCTGAATATGTTGTTACCTGGTAAAAGGGATTCTGTTGACATAATTAAGGTTACTACTCAGTTGTCTTAATCAAAAGAAATTAATCCAGGTATACCTAATCTAAATGCACAAGCCCATAAAAAGCAGACAGTTCCACCTTAGCTGGTAGCAGAAGAGCAAGTCCAAGAGATTCTGAATGTAAGGGATTTAGTGAGCTACTGTGACTAGAAGATGGGGGAGTGTGTGAGAAGGAATGCAGTTAGCCCTTAAAGATGACCAAGCCCCAGCTGACGGCCAGCAAGGAAGCAGGGACCTCAGTCCTATAAACATAAGAAACTGGACCCTGTCAGTAACCTGAAAGCACTTGGAAGTAGATTCTTTCCCAGAGTCCTTAGAAAAGATCCCAGGCTGGAAAACACCTTAATTTCAGACTTGTAAACCCTAAGCAGAGAACCCAGCATACTCAGATTTCTGATCTACCAAATTATGAAATAATAAATGGATGTTGTTTTAGCCACTAAGTTTGTTACACAACAATAGAAAATTAATACAGATTTTGGTACCTGGAAGTGGCGTGCTGCCATAACAAATACTTATTTTAAGTTTACTTTGAGATCATTAATATAACTCTGAAGTGTCACATAATAGTATTTGCGACTCACTGATTACTCTAAAGTGAGAACATTCGTTTTTTAAATTTATTTTTCTAAAATACTATTTAAGAGACAGTATACGCCTTAAATTCTTGAGGCAATTTATTTCTTCTACTTTTTAGAACTATTGTCAAATTAACTATGTTTATGAAGAGAGGCCCAATCAGCATATTCAAATACATAAACAGACGTTAACTTTTTAATACTATCCACCATACACTTTGAGTTTGGTACACTGTCCTGGCTTCAAGTCTCCCAGGAGCTGCAATATGGTGTCCAAGAGCACCCGACTAGAGTTAACCAAGAATTCACGACCACATGCGATGGCAGCAACATCTGCAACAGAAAGATAAAACAAAGCATCAAGATCACTTCATGTGATATTATGATTATATTGGTTTTCATCCACAGTTCCTGGTTTCTAACTCCCATAAGTTCTTGTTATAATATTGGGGTGCTTTAGGCCTCAGAAGACAGAATTTCTCTTTCTGAGCTTCTCCTGTCCTCCTTCAACCTGCCCAAGACAGGACTCTAATCCGATTGTGGGTCAAAAGACCCTCATTCCGGAGAGGGTCCAGACCCATACCCTCGAGGAAGGATGCTGCACAGAGAGGCCAGGAAAAATCTGAACAGACAGGCCTTGCTGGCTTTAGATCATGCGCTTTTGTCTAATCACATCTCTACATAGTTGATATGTAATCTCAACTCTCATCTATGTAATGAAGCTTCGATAAAAACCCAAAAGACAGGGTGCAGCAAATTTCCAGACAGCTGAACACATGGAGGTTCATGGAGGGTGGTGCACCCAAGGAGGGCATGAAAGTTCCATGCCCCTTCCCCAACACCTCACCATATGTACCTCTTGATCTGTATCCTTTGTATTAATAATATTCTTTATAATAAACCCGTAAACATAAGTAAGTGTTCCCCGTGAAATGTTCCACGAAATTAATCAAACCCAAAGAGAAGGTCGTGGGAACCCCAACTTGAAGCTGGTCAGTGAAAGTTCCAGAGGCCTGAACTTGACAACTGGTGTCTTAAGGAGGGGAAAGTTTGGGGGACTGAACCCTCACCCCATGGGATCTGACACTATCTCCAGGTAGGTAGTGTCCAAATTGAATCAGAAGATGCCCAGTTGGTGTCTACTGTTGGTATGTGAGGAAAACTTCAGTATTTGGTCACAGAAGTATTCTTCTGTGTTGATGATTGTTGTGGTGTGAGAACAGAAGTAAAAACATGGTTTGAGAAGGTTTTTCAAAACACTTCAGAATCTAGAATATTTTGTCCAGGACAGAGTATTTGTTGCTGTTTTTCTCCTAACAGACCTAATGAAAACATATACAGCTGGTGATAAGGCATTAAAAATTGGTGTTATTCACAGAGCTGCGAGCCCAGAAAGAGTAACTGACAACCACAGGAATTACTGAAACAGTGAGTACTGTCCAGTGTGACTAGTAAACACATTTACAGTGGAAAAGAGAAGTGGAACCTAAACGTGTCTGCTCCAGAGCACCAGATTCAACAACTGTGGGTAGTCAGAGTTCAAACATAAGGTGGGAGCTCATCGCCTTATCTGGAACTGAGGATTCTAAACTCAATCCTGTGAATACAGCTGGAGCATCCCTAATCCAAAAAGCCAAAATCTGAAATGCCCCAAAATCCAAAACTTGCACCAACATGACATGCAAAGGAAATGCCCACTGGAGCATTTCAGATTTTCAGACTAGAGTTCTGAACCAGTATGATGCAAGTATTCCAAAATCTGAAAAAATCCAAAATCCAAACACTTCTGATCCCAAGCATTTCAGATAAGGGATATTCGATCCCTTATATTTGTTAATAACTTTTAACCATGATACAAAACTGAAATTTTATGAGGTCAAAAGAGAGAGTATGAAAATTGATTCTAAAAAGAACTTTTTTCTAAATTTTATGTCCTATTGTGGATCAGCAAATATATTTCTTCATGCCTGAGACCTTGTAAATCAGCATGGAAACAAGACTACGTAATTCCACTGGCTCCTAATGGACAGTGTTGCAGTCACTACCGGCTCTATCAACATCCCCAAATACCTGTAAGGATGTACCGATGCTCCAAGTACACCTGTGCACATGTTTATAAGGTTTTCTTTAGTTAGCCCTAACAATAGAGCATGACTCAAACTGACTAAGTGGCTAAGATCCCTAAGTCAAATGAGCAGATATGGTGGGCCTTTTTCCTGACTTTAATGGAAATGCTTCTAATAATTCACTGTTAAATGTTATGTCTGATCTGTTTCTGGGAGATATTCTTTACCAGTTTAAGGAAAGTTTCTTCTCAGTTTGCTAAGAATTATCAAAAATGGAGGATGAGTTTGTCACGTACTTATTCTGCCTATGATTGGTTATGACATGGCTGCAGAATATAAAATTTCGTCTGTGTTACCAGATCAACTTTATGGAATTAGATCCTTGACATTCCTATCTATCTGTGTTTACCTGGGCTAAGATGGACCAACAAAAATAAATTAAAGTCTTCTAAATCTAACAGTTTTTTTCCCATTTCTACTTGCCTTTCTAGGATTTTGGCCTCACAACTGGTAATGTGTCATTTGTTACATAATTTCACAATAGCTATAATTTCATTGAGGACAGGACCCCTCTTTGACACAAATGTACCTCCTCTGTTCAATAAGTTTTAACCTGATAACTGTATTTTGCAACATATAATACCTTCTAGTTGCTGGAGTTTGGATGTTTGTCACCCAAAACCTCATGTTGAAATGTGGTCCCCTATGTTGGAGGTGGGTCCTAATGGGAGGTATTTGGGTCATGGGGGTAGATCCCTAGTGAACAGATTAATGCCCTCCCTGGGAGGTTGGGTGTGGGCTGTGAGTGAGTTTTTGCTCTATTAGTTCCCATGAGAGCTAGGTTAAAAAGAGCCTGGCACCTCCCTGTCTCCTTCTTGCCTCCTCTCTTGCCGTGTGATGTCTGCACACAACACCTCCCTTTGCCTTCTGCCATGAGTGGAAGCAGCCTGAGGCATTCATCAAATGCCCAATCTTCCAGCCTGCAAAATCGTGAGCCAAATAAACCTTTTTTCTTTATAAGTTACCCAGCCTCGGGTACTCCATTATAGCAACACAAACAGACAAAGACATTAGTTTTACTAACGAAATATTTTAGGGGAAAATGAAGCAATTAAGCATCTGGCATGATAAACACACAGAAGGTAAATTTTAGTTAGCTTTGCAGAAGAAAGTTGTATTCATGTAAATATAGTAGATCATACACTGAAAGCCAGCCAAGAAACTTGAGTTCTAGCTATGGACTTTGGCAGCCTGTCTCCAGAGATGACTACCTAGGGACCTCCCCATGTTCAGACACTTGAGGAGACCCCTGGCACTTGTGACTCACTTGTAACTAGAAGAATGCAGAAGAAGTGAGGTCACGTGCCTTCCAAGACTAAGTAGGAAGGAGCCTTATGGCTTCCACCTTGGACTCTTGCTACTTGCTCTAGAGTCCCTAAGTCCCTATGAGACAAGTACAGGACCCTGCGGCTCCCACGATGAAGAGATCATATAGAAAGACCACAGTGGAGAAGCCCTAACACTACATGAGGAGAAAAGAGAGAATAACTCCCCACTATTCCCCAATTGTTCCACTCCTAAGCAATTTGAGGCATCCCAGCTGAGGCCCCAGATATTGCTGAGCAGCAGCAAACTGTAGACCCACAAGCAAAATAAATGTTGTTGTTTTAAGACTTTATGTTTGGAGGTTGTTACACAGAAACAGATAACAGAAAAATTACTAATATATCACTAAAGAAAAAAATAATAGCCAAAAATGTATCACAGCAGGCAACACAACCCAACCCAACAAACTTACTGGCAAATGACATCCTGTAGCATATATCTAGTATCATAATTGCAAATGTCAACCTGCATTTCATTGAATATTGATACTAAAGCACAAACTACAACATAAAATAAATGTGAATCAGTTCCTACACAGCTAGCTCCAGTATTTGTCAATCTTTTCGAATTGACTCACATTTCTTTTATATCGTATTTGCACTTTATTATTGATATTTACTGCCTGGTGTGCTGTGAGTCAATGTAAGGCCTGCAGAACGGATTTGTTATCACCCACCATAGGCAAATAGCTGCTGGCCTAATTTCCAGTGATAAGGGTTTTGTTCTACGTTCATTTTGCATTAAAATCATTTATAAATATTTCTAGAAATAAAAATAGTAATTTTATAATTTAAGAAATGAATCTGGTTGGGAGGCCGAGGCGGGTGGATTGCTTGAGGTCGGGAGTTCGAAACCAGCCTGAGCAAGACCCCGTCTCTACTAAAAAAAAATAGAAATTAATTGATCAACTAAAAATATATATACAAAAAAAAAATTAGCCGGGCATGGTGGCGCATGCCTGTAGTCCCAGCTACTTGGGAGGCTGAGGCAGGAGGATCACTTGAGCCCAAGAGTTTGAGGTTGCTGTGAGCTAGGCTGACGCCACGGCACTCACTCTAGCCTGGGCAACAAAGTGAGACTCTGTCTCAAAAAAAAAAAAAAAGAAAGAAATGAATCTGGTGTCAATTATGTATGCCCAAAAGATAGACAGAGTTGAGATGTATTATTATCTAATACTTTTGCTTTAGACTGAAATAATTTCATCTTAAATTCAGCTATAAAAATAATAATAGGGTACTGGCATGATGATAGACATATAGATCAATAGTTCAATTTAGAGTCCAGAAATAAACTCTCCTATTTATGGTCAAATGATTTTCAACAAGAGTGCTAAGATTATTCAGTGGAGAAAGGATGAAAGAATAACCTTTTCAACAAATGGTGCTGAAACACTGGATATCCACATGCAAAGAAATGAAGTCGGATCCCTACCTCACATCATATCATGTACATAAATGAACTCAAAATGGATCACAGACCTAGATGCAAGAGCTATAGCTATAAAATTCTTAGAACATAGGAATATATCTTCATGACCTTGAATTAGAAAATGGTTTCTTAAACATGATATCAAAAGCATAAGCAACTAAAGAAAAAATAAACTGGACATAATCAAAATTAAAATCTTTCATGCTTCATAGGATACTATCAAGAAAGTGAAAAGACTATTCACAAAATGAAAGAAAATGCAGACATTCCTCATTTTATTGGGCTTCACATTATTATGCTTCATAAATACTGTGTCTTTTACAAATTGAAAGTTTGTGGCAACCCGATATTGAGCAAATCTATAAGTACAATTTTTCCAACAGCATATCCTCATTTCTGTCCCTGTGTCATATCTGGTAACTCTCTAACTTTTTCAACAAACTGAGTATAGAA